TTGGCCACATGTACTAACTGTACATTTTCATGTTTTTAAAGACATAAAATTAGATAAAATTGTAGTTTTTTAACTGCGTTTCGGTTACATTCATCAGAGAAACCAGAAAACTTAAGTTATGTATGATTTATGTATAAATTGAATATAATTTTTATATGTAGTATGTTTGTTGTAGGAATTGTTATGTTTTCGTTACCTTAGAAGGAGATGTTTTTATCTACAGATGCCGCAGGTTTTCTTCCATGGAGTCCGAACCGCCATGTTTCTACAGTAGCCCAGAGGGGACAAACCAAACACTGGCTGTAAACTGCATGTGTTTGCACAGGGTGCAGACAATAAGGGATCTTGGCTTCTCTTAATAAGACATGAGCTCCCCTGAAAACATGGTATTATACGCTATTTTTGCTCTGCATTTCTATTTTTCAGTGTCTTCATCATCATGGATCATATGTAAAATTAGGCTACTATTGATGGATGATTCGTGCATGAGAGTGATTCACCACTAATTTGCTTTAATAAAGATACAAGCATGCTATTCCTGCCATCACTATTGAAGTGTGGCAGCGCAATACCATACACACAGAGTCGCCATATCCTTGTGTTGTAGTGATGTCAAAAAGAAAAACAAGGATTACTGGTATATACCGAAAACGTAGCTTTACAACCGGCACTGATGTTACATGTGGGAATCCCAGATCGTCAAATGTAGACACGAACAGCGTTCAGTTACTTGTAATCTGTAACTTCACAGACACCACACAAGATGCCACCAAATCCTACACACTGGTCCTTTAATATCTTCATTTAGACATACTGGACATCCAACATCCTTTAAAGGGATTTTTTGCATCATATATCTGCTGCTTGTATTAACAGTTCCCTTGAGCAAAAAGATTCAGCTGCTGTTCAAATATTGACATACATAGAGGATGTGACAGCTCTCAGCATATGTGAACGTATACCTGATAACTCTGCTGTTTAAACAATCTTCAATTTAAACTTGACTGTCTCATAAGCTTCCTTTTCAGTAATAAGAACAGTAGTTCGAGCATTTGCCAGCAGGACGTCACATATGAACATAATATTTCCAATGAGACCTGAATACAAATGTAATGTATTAAAGACACCTCACCAAACATTATCTGCTCTGTTTCTCTACAGTAAATCTAATTTTTAAACATGAAATCCACCCATGCTATACATAAAATACCAATATTCATATGCAAATCCATTTTTCTCTCTTTTCTAAGGCAGTATGAAAAGGCTTCAACGATGGCTGCAGGGCGTGGAGAGGAGCGTGCAGCATTACCTGTTTAATTTTAATCAAATTCAGCCTTGGGGATAAACAGGAAGCAGTATGTAATCTGTGCCATCAGAAAGCATGTAAACCAGCTCAACACTGCTCTGGTAAAACAACTGATTACATCCTGAACAAACCGTACCATTCATGCATTACTGCTGTGGTTCACGCATGTAGGAGCTATATTTAAAGAAAAATATTTATAAATCATTGATTTGTTTGTAATATCATTTATTAATCTCTCTGTATAATTCACAAACAGATTGTACACTTATGCAGTTCGTTGCTTTTTTTGCGAACATCAGCACAAGTGAAAACATTTTACAGTGACATTAACTTTAAGAGTACAAACATCAGAAGTTCTCATTAACAGAAATGTACAGAAGGTTTAAAGTGTGTGTGTGTGTGTGTGTGTGTGGACTGTGAGTGTGGTTATATTATTATACATTTTAAAAAAACTGGACAGAATATGCAAATTAACATGTTCTAAACCTCCTTCTGGCTCTCTTCCTTTAGACATGGACTCTTTTTTCCTTTTGAGAACAGTCTCTGATAGCTCAGGTGTGAACTAGCGAGGGACTTTGTTTATCCTTTTGTCTTTAGGGGCAGAATGGTTATCTGCAACGTCATTTAAATGCTGCATTGTTATTTACTCTCATGTACATGTACCTGATGTTCTCTGGAATAAAGCCAGCATATGTACATAGTAACTCAGCCTTCAGATATACCAAACAATCAAGAGTCCAATCCCCTGACGATCCCTATATGGGAAGAGAACAGTGCCTTTCTGTGTTTGTCGGGGCATTAATGCATAGACCTGAATGTAAGGTAAAGAAATTGAATGCATTCAAAAACTCAGCAAAGCTTCAGTCCGTCTTGGCGAGCTCAGCTGAGGCTTGTTGTTGTCTCAGTTTCACCTTCAATGGGGGAGAATTCATTAGAAAGTCTGCAGCCACAGACCAGAAACCACATTACAGATGGAGTATTTGTTACTGGCTGCAGCAGTTAGACCTTTTCTCAAGAGCTCAATTTAAGCACATTACATTCCACTTCAAACTAGGCCTTTGAAAATTACATTTCAAATGGCTTTATGGCACCAACAGCGTATATCACCAAACTACAGCTTGACTAATACATCAACATGGCTGATATTATATGTATATATATATATATATATTATAGGTAGATGTTAGCTGCTCACAGCATATCGGTAAACATTGATGAATAGTTAACATTGATGAATAGTTAACAAATTAAGGTTCCATTCCATTCAATGCTTTTTATATAAAATGGTTACATTTTTGTTTGTAAAATTTTTTTGTTGTAGATTGGCCCTTTGTTTGTCATTTTGGAGGCCTGAAAAAACACAATTTTGTTCCAGAGTGCAGTCTGTTGGAAACGACACGCATGGCTATTACATTTTCAGCCAAATAGCCACAGAACAACAATGGCGAACTATCGAGCTGTGTTTGTGCTGCAGGCTCTGCTGAGTTTATTACTGCTCCTCCAGTAAAGTGTTGCTGCACCATTACTGTGATCAGCAGAGACACATTAATTAGGTCTGCATGTTACTCACTCCACCTCTACGTGGGTGGAGGGCAACTAAAGGATGTTTTTGGACAAGAAATAAGTCAAAATACAAAGTTACACCACCACCTACTGGTATAGCATGCATACTACAACGCCTTCAATAATTTTTGCAGATCCGTGTGCATGAGGATCATTTTCAAAACAAGCTGAATTTTTTTTAAAACACAAAGGAAAAACTTTTGCGTTTGTCACAAACGGATGCTGTTTGGCTTCAGGATGCTGCTGTTGTGCATGTTAGCTCACCGGAAATGCTACACTAAATATAACGAAACCTTAATTAGCGTGTTTACCCTATTATTTCATGTCAAAATGGCTGCTGTGTAAAAAAGGTCTATTGCAGTACACGTCCAGCCCAGTGTCACAGAGAATTACGTCCATATTGGATGATTCTGCATCTCATAAATTAGCTCCAATGCAGGAAGCAGTTTACATCAGGGTGCGGAGGTTAATGTGGTGGATGCGTCCATAGTGTATCTGACTTTAAAGCAGGAGACTGGAGTCCCATCACAGACCAGACCTTTTATTAACTGTATTAACAATTTGTGTTATTTTCTGCCAATAGGAATGAAATTTCAGTATAGAAAAAACAGTGTTATTAGATAATTTGTCTAATTTGTAGCATTTGAAGGCACAGGTTGTACGCAAAAAATATTCTTTTGAAGGTACAAATTAAAGTCTTAAAGTAATAGTGTAACAATCTGGGAAATATGCTTAACTGGCTTTCTTACAGAGAGTTACATGACATAATCTACACATGGTACACATACCATGATGTTAGAATACATGTATGTATAAGGAGCAGTAACTTCCTGCATGCCAACTGTTTTATTTTAAATTTTGATTTTAGACAGTTTCCAGTCTTTGTGCTAAACTAAGATAATCAATTTGATCTAATTATAATCTAGCCCTCAGCAAAAAAGGGTGTTTCCCAAAATATCGAACATTGAATTTGAATTTGGGCATCTAAACTCTTATCTTTCTTCCTGAATTAGTTCTGTTTAAAAGCTTCAAGTTGGCAATATGATATGGTTGTGAAAATGTCAGTTTTTTGGAGCAAGCGGCGGTGACATATGGTATGTCAAGCTAAGCTTAGCTTTGTTTTGTCCATAGCAGGAAACATATAGTACACATGCTTCATAGTTCATTACAATGGACTTTTTCTGCAGTGTAATGAATCTGTCTGTCAAGATCAAACAGAAGCAGAAGAGTCCACTTCAGTCTGTAATATAATGAATGGATTCTGACATTGACTGAGGCAGATACTGTGTCGCATGAAAATGTATTCTGCTGCTCAGAGAGGTTCTTGTCCCTGTGTCAGGTCTCAAGATGTTTCTAAAATGATTTTAGGTGAGAAATAGTCAACGCAGTAACAGAATCTTGATTTGTATTTGATCAGCACTGCCTAGTTTGACAGTTTAATCTGAGTTTCGTACATTGCACTGGACGGACTGACAGAGATGACTTGTCAATCACAAGGTAGCAACACTCTAAAGCATACCCTACTTTTTCAACTATTTTACTCTAAACTGGACTATAATTTACAAAATAAACAACATGCTGTACGAAACTAGCGATTGAGACCATAAACTCATTAGGAAACAGTTTACTAAGCTAATAAATGAAGTGAGAAGTTGGCTCATTGCTCCATAAGACTTCATACTATCTGAGTTTTTTTGCAGCCAATGGAGCCGCCCCCTGCTGGCCGGTAGAATAAATTCAGGTTTAATACATTTCAAATACAGTCACTGATTGTACCTCACACAGCTGCAGAGTTTCCTCCTCTCCTGGATCGAGCAGGAAACAATAATCACAATAATCAGGAGTACTTATTCATAAATGTAAACGTGTGTTATAGATTGTTATAAAATGTTTAAAATGTCAAGTGGCACTGAATAATAGATAATGTTACTGAGTTTGATAGACCTCTGTACCAGCGATTAGAGGTCCAATTCAAGCACCGCTATTTACAGTTTAAAAAAACAAATACATGGCTGGTATAGCAGTATTTTCTCAATCTCAAATATCAATATATGTATTGGCTTCCAAAATCCAGTATCGGTCAGGTTATATATACAGAAAACAGGAGATGCTCTCAACACCAGCAGTGACATCAAAGCATTTTACTGGTCTGAGAGTCATGACCTTTGCAAGTCAAGCTGATATTGGTGGATGGTGCCGTCTCCACTCTGCTGCGTAGGTCCCTGTTGTCGTTCACAGGACACTTGCTGGGCACCCGGCACCAGAAAACCTGCTTGTAGGAATTCCTGAAGTTCTCCGACAGGAACGCGTAGATGATGGGGTTGACGGAGGAGTTGCTGTAGGCCAAGCAGTGAGCCACCATCCTGAACACGAAGGAGGCCTGGTTGAGGGGGAAGGAGCCAAACTCCACCCACAGGTGGACGACGTGGTGAGGCAACCAGGACAGACAGAAGACCACGACCACAACCAGGACTGTCTGAGCAGTCTGTGGAAGGAGCACAGAGGAGGTAATGATTGGTAATATCCATAGTTTTTACATTTCTAATGACTGAATGTTATTCCCCAACTAGAAAGCCACTTTTCACAATATCTTCAGTGAAATAGAGCAGAATGTACGCAAGAACTGCTGTAGCTAACAGCTATCAATCTGCCAATTATCTTCTCTGTCGTGTGTGAAATGTCAAAAAGTAGTAAAACCACCCAGTTTCTTAGAACACCTTCAAATGTCGTGACTATCATAAATGACAAGGAAAGCAGAAATCCTCACATTTCAGAAGCTAGAACCAGAAAATGTTTGGTATATTTGCTTGAAAAATGACTGAAACAAATATTCGATTATCAAAACAGATGCAGATTCAATTGTTTTTTAATCATTCCAGCTCTATATGCAAGTCTATAGCCACTGTGCCCACCTACCTTTCAACCACCCCAGACCTGCCAAATAAAGAGACAGAAATAAACTCCCACCAACCTTCTTTTTGGAGAGCTCAGATTTTTTGGAGACATTCTTCAGCTTTTTGTGCAGATGGTTTAAAACCTGCAACAACAAAAATATTATGAAACACAAAAACCTGAATTAGTTCTGCATCTTTTTTCTCCATTGTGCCATTTTGAAAAAGACCTTAAATGTTTCCTGTAATGCAATAACAACGCTTGTGCACATTGAGGATGCATTACAGACTCATGTTAGCTGCTTGGACAGATAATGTCTCAGTGAATATTTGTGTTTATATCTTTTTTACATTCAAAGAATAAACAAAAAATTGTCTTTTATTTGGATTAAAGCCACATTTTATCATTATGTTTAATTTTGCTGTCATCTGAATTTACTATGTATTCATTCCAAACTGTGAACACAATATATTTACCATTAATGCTTTTTTTACGCATTGATTCACTGTGATTCATGCGCACCCACCTTTGCATAGCAGACAGATATCAGAGTGAGAGGCAGGAGGTATCCGAAAACAAAGGTGCACATCACGTAGACTTTCCTCTGGTGTTCCGGCCAAACCTCCCAGCAGTAGGTGTTGTTCTCGTCCCGCTCCACGATGTTCTGGTAGTGCGCAACGGGAGATGCCATGACCAGAGACAGGATCCAGATCAGCACCACTCCGAGCATGGCGTGCCTCACCACCCGGATCGACGAGGATTTCCTGGCGTGGACGATGGCCACGTAGCGGTCCACGGACATCGCCGACAGAGTGAAAATACTGACCAGCATGGACACGGTGAAGAAATAGTGGATAAACTTGCAGATGAAAGCCCCCAGCACCCATGTGGGCAGCATGTAGATGGTGGACTGGAAGGGGACGCAGAAGAGGAGGTAGGACAGGTCCGCCACGCTCAGGTTGAGGATGAAGATGTTGGTTGTGCTCCTCGGTTGTCCCGGTTTGCTGCGCGCCAGCACCGTGATCACCATGGTGTTCCCAAGCACACCGAGGATGAAAATAAGTCCAAATATCAGAAGAGAAATAAAGTTATCTACACCCATCCCCAGTATGTGTTTCGCCGGCAGCCTCACGGTGTTGGTGTTGAAAGACTGACTCTGATTCTCCACCTGTAGCTCCATCTTTTCCCACTATTCAAGAAAAAGTTACATGTTGTATATTAAAGATGCATATCCTCCACATGTAGCTCGGGTTGAGGATGGGTTTCTCTTGAATAAAGATGGGATGGAGCTGCATTTGCAGGGTGTGCTCCCTGCCTTCCGAGGCAACGTCACCATGCTGTGCGAAGCCGATCCCACCAATACCTTTCCACTGTTTCCAGTGACCTGCAGCCAGTGAAATGGGAATAAACAGCAAGCCTATAAAACACTGCTTAAATCCTGAGTTCATCCAGCATCCAGTCTTCCTTTATTAAAACAAGTAAATATGATGCAGTATGTTGTGTGGCAGGACATACATCCACTATATTATTATTATTATTTTTGTGTCACCAAACATAGTGTATCATACATTCATATATATTTTTATTATATATATTATTTTTACATTGTCAATGTATCCCACAATGCATCATAGTTCATTACAATACACTTTTTCTGAAGAGTAATGAACCTGTCTGTCAAGATCAAACAGAAGCAGAAGAGTCCACTTCAGTCTGTAATATAATGAATGGATTCTGTCATTGTCTGAGGAAGATACTGTGTATAAAATTCATTCTGCTCCTCAGAGACCTCTGAGGTTCTTGGTCTTGTCATTTCTCACTGAATACATCAGCAATTCATTGATTACAATATACATATGTATTTTAATTACTTATATAGAGGCTAATGAGTGGTACTAAATCAAAAAGGCCAAAGTATAGAAATATTACATACATATAACACTGGTTATCTGGTCACAAAGTACTTCATTAGTTGATTAAGTATTTGGTCATAAACCAAAGTAGTGGACAAACTGTTTTTACCTAATGATGAAGCTAGATGAAAAGTAAAAGGATCACCAAAGTCATCACAGTCCATCCTCTGTGAACAATGAATGTGGGAACGAAATTTCATGCCAATCCAATAGTTGTTGAGATAAGTGGTGGCGTTGTCCTCCGTCGAGTTATGCTGCTACAATCTGTCTCTCGGAGGTCCTACAAATACATGGAAGTGCAAAATTAAATCAGTAAACTTGCCTTTTAATTTTCCATAAATATTTCAGTTTGCTGGAACATTTTGATTTAAAGGACCAGTTTGTAGGATTTAGTGGCATCTAATGGTGAAGTTGCATACTAACTAAACACCACTCGCGTCTGTATCTGAGGAACTGGAAATGTGAACAGGCTTTGAAGTATGAATAAGAAACAACAGCCAGTGTTTGGTATGTCCTTTCTGGGCTACTGTAAAAACATGGCGGTTCAACGTGGCGGACTCCATGGAGGAGGACCCTTTGTGTCTGTAGATAAAAACGTCTCATTCTAAGGTAACAAAAACACAATAATTCCTATTTTCAGGTGATTATACATTAATAAAAACATATCTATGAATATTATATTACATTTCTGTCAATAGATCCTCTTCCATGTTACACACTTCTAAAATGTCTTTTTCTTTAGAGTCAAATACTCTAAGTGAAAGTCCACAGACTCAGCAAGGAAATAGTTTATTGTTTTTCCTCATTTCCATCAATCGTCCTCGGCCTTCTGTCTGCGTTATTGATCTGCTCTGACCAGGTCTGGGAACAGCTGTATTATCATTATGCAAGCATGTGAGCCTCAGACAAACCAATGCTGGGAGATCTGCCAGGGGGATAACCATCTGGAAATGACGACAAGGATGATGCACACGCTATGTAACCTGAGAGCAGAGAGCGATGCTATCTTGGGGTCCGCTAAGCCTCAGACGACTGTACACATTTGAAGCTTTTATTTTTTATACGTCCTGTTAATTTGCTGGTGTTAATTAAGTGAATTCAACTCAGAAGCTACACTCTCTCAGTGCTAAAAAACCTTATGAGGATGATGATGGTATAATGATACTGATGATGAAGAGTATTAGGACCAATTCTCCAACTTAGCCTTCATGAAAATTAATAGTGGTTATTATATTACTCTTTTTTCCCCCTTCACAGAGTTATTATACTTTTGAGAGCATGTTGTTTTGTAATTGGTTTCTCAGTTAATGTCCTGAAGCAGCCTGAAGTTTCCATGGCGACTTTTTATTCCATCGACCGAGACGTTATCCCTCTTTCTGCTGGGGAGAAGAAAGGGCACAATGAATGAATCCTCGGGGGCAGCGTCTAATTTTTCAAGAAATATATCAAGTATTTTCCTGCAGAATCTTGACAATGTGATATCTGCCTTCAGAAAAACAGATCGAGTGACTTGTCCTGCTGCTGTCCACATTCAGCACCACGGACAGCTCATCTTTTAACCTGTAAAACTCACTCAGCTCACCCTCAAACACACACAGAGATGGTTTTATACTTTATCCGTACTTTATTCTCCTGATGGGTTGTTTCCCCAGACAACAGTTATGATCGCGTGTATCAGGATACAAGGTTGATAAAACAGTTTGATGCTGAAAACAATCATCTTCTTCATCAGTGTGTGCACTCAAATGTGTGTAATTAATTTAAAAATACAGTGCAAAAGTCAAGTCCTTCATTTCACATGTAGAGTGTCTACCTTGAAAGAAGAAATTCAGGATGATAAGTTGAACTAATGAGCAGTAAAGACCACTAGTGGTCGCCAGAGCTTCACAGGGGGTCGCAAGGCCTTCTTAATTTTAAGGGGTGTAAGAAAACTTTCAAGATATACACAGTAGGCCGATATCTCTGCATTTTGGTCATTTCTGTGAAGTAAACTAAATTTAATAGTTTTTTTTCCCTTTATGTTTAGATAAGGTTAGATTAAATGTATGATTGTTTAAAAAAAGCCTAGTACAGACAGAGAATTGTATAAAAAGTTAATAAAAATATCAGGAAAACTTATCTCTGATCAACATTCACAGGAAATAATCTGCTCAATATTCATCCAAATCACTTGTTTTTGAAGTTACATAGGTTCATTTAAAAAGGTGCAGTGTGTAACATTTAGGAGGATCTGTTGGCAGAAATTGAATATATTATTCACAGATATGTTTTCATTATGTATAATCAAGTGAATATAGGAGTCGCTGTGTTTTTGTTACCTTAAAAAGAGACGTGTCTATCTAGATATGCTGTAGGAGCTTCTACAGAAGCCCAAACAGACAAACCAAACACTGGCTCTAGATGGGGCATTCGAGTCATTTCATACATGCATATTTTCAAACTAAAATTATTTTTTCAATATAATTATCTTTTTAATGATGAAAATACAGGCAACGTGCAATTGTTCTGTATTTAACATTTCACAACAAAGGAGTAGTTTCTTTCTATTATGTTCTCTTCTTCACAAACACAGACCAGTTTTCAAATTGTTTGTCCTTGCGAAAGAGATTCAACCCATTCTGCTGAACCAGATCTTTATCTGACTCATTCAGTGATGGAGAACCATCCTTGAAGCACCAATAAAGCCTGCCAATGCCAGTCCAAATTCCTGTTTGGATGCACGCTGTGGTAGGAGAGATCTGTCTCCTAATGAACACAGCTGGGGCAGCAGTTGATGTAACCGCTCTAATACGTCTGATTACTGTTTCTTTTTTTTTTTTCTTTTTTTTATGAGTCAAGACATGTTAGCTGTATGGCTCTAGGGATTGCAATGTAGGTCTGTCTGTCCAGAGAAATATCTCGACAACAACTGAGTGGATTGCCATGAATATTTTGTCCAGACATTCTGTAACAAGTGGAGTACTTAGGCAAACAGACTTATAATAGCACATCTCAGTGGGACTAGAATGAAAACAGTATTTGCTTGCCACAAACAGGGTTGGTACACAGATCCAGGAATAAGGAAACAAATCCAGGAAACACTCAGAGAAAGATAATGACCAAGAACACTAGAAGCTGGAACGCTTGATACAAAGAATAAAGACAAACTGGCTAAGAGACAGAGGAACAGATGGACTAAATACACCAGGGAGGGAAAGACAGGTGGGACTAATCAGGACACAATGACAACAAGTGCAGGAAGGGGGGAGCTCACTTTTTCTACTGTTATGGAGGGATATATTTTATACTTTCTGATCTAAAGTTAATGATATTGGACTGCCAGGCTTAAAGTGATTTAGTGATGAGTACTAGTCGACAAAGAAAATCTTTTGTCAGGGACAGCCCTTACACTGGACCTTTACATTTTTAACCATCATTTTATAAAAGACTTCACAAATTAAGATCTGGTACTTTATTATCTCGACTAGACAAAGAGATCTGCTTTTGTTGCCGTCGACAGTCTGAGAAGCGGAGATTAGAAATCACAAAGAATCCATTTAAGGTCTTAATGTCAGCACAGACTAATGAAGTCTTAAAGGGCAGAATCACGAAGCTGTGAGTTTGAAGTCTTCCTCTCAATTTGTGTTTCAGCTTTAATACACAGTGATATCATGGTACAACCCCACTTTCACTGCATCTTCTCCCCCCACAGCCTCTGTGAGTTACTTTACCAACCTTATTAGAGACATACACTAAAGTAGATAAGCAGCTTTGAACCCCGCTGCTCTTCCTCTCAGGTGTTTAGCCCTTTAGCTCACCCTGGAGTCAGACCTGTTGTTACCATGACACTGGCCCATGAGCGGAGAGCACAGCAACAACACGTCCATTTATCCCAATAATTTGAAATGGACTTAGCTTGCCTGCTAAATAGCTGGGAGCCACAGATTGCCATTAGGGTGATTTGCATTGGCAGACAGCAGCGTTTGTTCTGTTTTGTTTTTGTCGTTTGCTTTCATTTTCCTTTTTTTAACAGTAAGTCTTCAGATAATGATATTGGTTATGAGTGTGGGAGATGCAGAGGATGATAATGTCACTTAAAGTCTGTTTCTCTTCCTGTTGGCATCAAAAAAAGTATTTTTTGTAATAAATATATTTAATTTAATTTCCAGTTTTATTCTCATTATACCAGACAGATCTTTCTTTTTGCAAAAGAAAACATATTGCAGTGTACACATCACATTTAATGTCTAATTAATTCTTAAATATATATCACTCTTCTTTCTTTTTTGCAATGTAGTTTTAAATACATGTATTTCTTGTATTTTTATATTATTATTTTCTACTGGGAAATCA